TCGTCACAACTTTAATAAGATAGCCAGCAAGCTACGAACTCCAACGGAACACTCTAAAACGGAACTATCTTGACCCCGCAAATCGAAAGCCGAGAGGTGACAACCCACGGACTCAGATCGTCAGAACATTGTCACGCCAGTACAACTTTGAACAGTGCACCGGACTACAGGCTTAAAGATATAGAACTTTCCGCCCCCGGGCAACTCGCCGTGGTTTACAATTGCCACTCAAGCTACCCTCCAAAACCTGCAGCCATCTAGCCCCGGACTACGTGCCGCCGCTCGCCATCGCACCATCAAAAATACTAGTTAAGCTCTAAGTCGACCAGACGGGGACCAGACGTGGGGCATGCATGCTGGCTGGCAAGGTTCCGAGCGGTGACCAGTCACTGAGTCGAGGCGGTTGGCACCAGTGATGACGAAGATGATTTCTGTTGAAGCCCACTAGCACATGTGATAGATCTATATTTTTATCATTCGACGCAGATTGGGTAAAGAGTCAATCACCGTTCTCAAGTGAACGAGCATTGGCACCGTGAAGCCGTTTGAGCGAGACATGCCAGTCTAAAAGATCCCGTATGCCAATATTCACGTCACTGACACTAGTAAGCTGCTTGACTTGCAATTTGAACATTGGATCCAATCATGACGCTCGTAGAAGTGATGCCACGAGATCTGTTCCTACCATAATCGTTCTTGTAGTAGCGGCTTGGACCAAGCATGCTCGTCAGTTGAGTATCATGGATCGAGCATGCATTTCAACCGTAGACGTTTCTCGTTGTGGCGTCCGTTTCGATGCCAGGCTCCGAGTCCAATGCTCCGGCCTTCGTATTCGGGGCCATAGTAACTACTTGAATGTTACCAACAATTGTGCGCCCAGGCTGCGGACACCCTTTGCGGTTTAAGGCTTTCAAAGGTCAAGATTGAACCCCGTGCGACAGGATTCTAGTTGAGTACCTCCAGGTGTCGAGTATATATACAACGATGTGTGTGTCTCAGTTCGAACGCAAACAGGCGTTTCAATTCCTTTCACCACTGCAAGGTCTCGGCAAAAACCCATCATCCTAGTGTTCTGTGAAGTCGGATGGATCCGCGTTGAACAACAATCGGACGATGAATTCTTGGACGGCCCTCTCACCTCCGAAGCCTTTCTTGCCGTATAGATTTGCCATCATTGAACAGATTGCCAATCCTCGACTCGGAGCCGCTTTGCCAGCATGACACCGACCGCATCATCTGGAACAAACCGCTCTCAACACTCACGCTGACCAGTACACGTGTGCACAGGTTTTGTAGACGGCGTCGAAAATTGTTCAACCCGTTTGCCGCAGCGGGTCAGCAGCTTCGTTGACATCGTGTCAGTGCCCGGCTATGCATGCTTGGCAGGATTCAACGTCACTCGAGCCGATACAGAGCCTCAACCTTGCAACAAGCCGAAGTTTTTACGCAAGTCAGCGCTGGAGTAGATCTCGATCTGTACGATGCCTTTGCCAGCTAGCTAGTAGTGCTCCTGCTCACTGTGTTTAATAGTACGAGTTCGGACCTTATACCCAAGTCGCAGTTGAAGCAAAACATGGGCAGAAACAGTGGGATCATCCCGAAATGATTTGTTCAATGCGCAATCTCGACGCTCCGGGCTGTGCGGCTCAGGCCAATAGTACCGGCTACTACATGACTACTATTCGTGACATGCGTTGCCACGAATACGGCATGCGTCGGAGATATGCCTCCAACCCTAGTTGGTACCGGCAGCCCCGAACGCCCGCGTAGAACACCGAAGGGTCTTTAACCGGGCCTCATTCGGTGCCGGGACACACCGGCCGGGACTTGTTCGGTCCCGACCTGTCCTTGTCCGGTTTCATCCGGTACGTGAAAAGTCACCGGGTCCTGCACCAACACCGACCATGCTCCGGGAATAAATTCCGGAGCCAAACCGGGACCTCTCATGCCCCGGTGGAAAACTCGGTACAATTTTCGGTCCCGAGGTCGGCAGCTAGCCGGGATCTCAGAAACCGACTCGGACCTCATGGTCCCGGTGAGACAACCGGTACTGGTGTCGGTAGCGAGGACGGGAGTGGCATCGGGACGTCCGTCCCGACTCAAGCCCGCTTCAAGACCCGGTACTAAAATCGGTGCTGAGATTGGTCAAAACAACAGCACCGGGACTTGCATACCGTTGTGTTGTTCCTGATTGTGTACATGCGCCGGAACGGAGCGGACAATGCAATTAGCCAGCCTGTACTGATTGATCGAAGTGCCCGGCCACAACATTGCATGTGGAGACTACTATGTCACATGCACACACTTTTTTTATCCGGGGCATGCTGACGCCCGTCGAAGTGCCATGATTCTGTGGCATAACAACGACCTAAAGTACCCTAACACATCGTAAGAATTAGCCGTGGGTGGCGGCGAAGTTTTGAAGTTGTGGGGAATTGGGGCAGATTGTGACCATAGTACATGCCATAGCCTCACAGTTTCGCGAGCGAACTGCTTAGGTTACTAGTCCTTCTTTTCAATGAAGACGGTCGGTACTCATCGGACCTTGCACAATCAATCTATTGACCAATTTGTGAGATTTTGCAAGGCAAACACTTGATACCGATCTGGCCGTCATTGACACTAGGATTTGCAACGGTCCGAAATTGTACAGATCGCCTTTCTGGCGCCCAAGTACCGCTATGACGGGTGTGTGTTACAAAAGTATTAATCAGCGGCGACCTCGATGAGGCTGGCCTGGCTTACAACCTGCGCACAATATAGCAAGAAACCAATTCCTACAGGGGAAACTTGAGCGGGTGATTTATCAGAACACGGACCAACTAAACTCGGTCTGATCAAAAGTAACCAACTCTACTCCCGAGACAAGAAGCTTCGTGATTCCAGTGTTGCATTCCAACGTCATTATGCTTGCTGGCGGTATGTACGATGTCCACGCCGTCTTTTTCCTGCAAATCTAAGAAAGGGGGAGTGAGCGGTTGCGACAGTTGAGCCAGTACATTAGATTCAAGTGCGAGCTGACCGATAGGTGAAAGTGAGCTGATGGGCGACATCCTTTCAAAAGCTTCACGATGAGAAGCGACAAACAATAGATTCATCGGGGCACATACTCGAACAACGTACTGGAGCCGAGGACCCACAAATACCAGTAAGAGCGCAAGCAGTATACAAGTCCTCTACACCCGGTCCTGATCAGCGTGCCAGTTACCAACTTTACGAGGCGTCACGGTGGAGTAGATCCTAACGGCTTCACATGCTACATGTGAGGCCAATCAAATGACCATTCCAGGAGGCCAAACTTGGAAAAGGAATCGCACGCTTGGTTTCCTCTAGTCTTGTTTAACTCCCTTCAACATGGCCATACTATGCGCTTTCTCACCTGCTAGGTTCATGGCGACAGCATTCGTCGCTGCGGGCAGCTGCGACTATGAGCCTCCTTTGAAAGGGACGACTGCATCTCCTGCAAACAACGAGGACCAAACCAGGAAAAATGATTGAGAATGAATATGTAAAGGATGACAACGAGAGCCAAACCAAGAGAAATGGATAAAAATGATTGTGTAAAGCATGACACTTGACTCGGGCTGAGACAATGTCAGTCCCTGACATCACAAGAGCTTGAAAGCGGAAGGTAGTAAACAGAGATGCAGATGAATCGAAACCGCCGGTCTGCAGCACGCTGTCCAGAGAGTCAATTTGCGAGGACGCAAGCAGGGGCTAAGTGTGGTTGCAACTTAGCCTACAAAGAACTCAAAAGAACAACCAAGCACCGGGTAGCAGTCCCTAAAAACTCTACAGTGGGCAGGCCTGCAAATTGGGCCAGCGGAAGCTGCTGTTCAGCGGAGGGTCACACTTCTGCAGCGGACTTTGAGTTTGGCAGTGCAAGATACTTCTGGTCCATGAAAGGCAGCAAGGGAATCTGCATAAACACAGAGGTTGAAGCTACGTATCCTCTGCTGACTTTTGGAGGTCCCATCATGTCAATTGTTTCACCTGCTGACTCCATGCGGAAGGCCTTTTCAACTGAAAAGGAGAAGCCTGCAACTTCTTGGGACGCTTTCTAAGCATCTCCAAGACCCACAAGTTTCATGAAGACAACAGACTAGAGAAGGACTCACTGACCATGATCTCTTCTCTTGTGGCCCTCGCTAATTACAACCAATCAGCACTCCAGCCCATTGAACTTCTGGATTTTCCGGTAGTGCTCGCCTGTCCGAAGTATACCAGATGTAAGAAACACGGCGGTCTCCCCTGCCCGACTTTCTGTTCATGCACACCCCTTCTTCAGAACCAAGGAGATAACAATCTCCTCTAAAACGAAGCACTTCCTCCCTTGAAACAAGAAAGCGGAGCTCGTCTTTGTCCAGAAAAGCCAAGTCTTCACAGTCTTCTGACTGCAAAGCTAAGGGCTCGCAAGGTTCTCTCCAAAAGTGAAGGGACTCATGCGGCCCAAGACCGCATGCAACCTCGACCAAGGTGAGCTCTCGGTGCTGCACCCGTGCCAATGCACGTCGACCCCATTGCAGCCGACTCTGCTATCACACACCCATCCTTCTTGCGGAGGCCGTAGGAGATCCGAGAGAAGACATGGCACTCATCGTTGTTCAACACCAGGTCAATACGCAAATTATCATGGGCAAAAATGGGGGTGAAGCAATCCAGGTCCATGGCGCTTGTATGAAGCGCCCGCTCAGATGGACCATGTGGGAGCAAGTTGATGCTCAAAGTGGACATGTCCTCGCTCAAAGACCCCTCTGCTGCAATGAGATTATGTTCACTTGAGGAACAAATCAGGAAAAGGCTTTCCTTCTGCTGAGTGTTCAGGCGTTCCTCTCCATCCTGTTCTTTGACCCACTTGTTCCAGTCTCTGCAGACCAAGCCCAGGCCCCAGAACTTGTGCCCGTCCTGAAAGCACTGCCAGTATCGCCGGGGCACCCTACTCAAAATGTTATCCAGGACTTCTTGGGGCACAGCTTTTAGCGAACCCATCTGGCCGAGAACTTCAGCTGTTGGTTCTATCAGGCCTGCACAAAAGGGGGTCGGTTTTATGTACCTTACGTTGACTTTCAAGAGAGAAAAATAAACTGACAAAGAAAAGTAGCAGAAGGACGGGTGGGGTTTCCTTTTGGGTTTAAGGCCGGGTAGCATGCTGATCGTGCATGCAAACTTCATCGTTTGGGTTTTAAGTTTTGTTCAACTTTCCGGAGCAAAATAAACCATTAAACCGGCGTACGAGCTAGGAGTGTTGAAAAGTGGAAGCTTTGCGCTTTTATGCACAGCGGACCTACCTCGTATGGTACTGCCAAGGCGCAATTTTGAAATGGTCCGTACCTTTACTGGACTTTGGTACGATTCACCGACTCTATTACCAAAATAATACCAATACCTAGCGCTGACTGGTCGACACGGTTCCAAGTTGAGGAGTCACAAAAGGTCACAAATAGTCACACCGATTTTTAGGTAGTAAGGGTACGGAATTACCTACTTTCCGGCAGAATATTGTTTTTGTTCGATAAATGATTGCAATTCCTTGTAATCTAGGCTCAGCACAGGTTTTCAAATCAACAATCGTATATGTAGTCTGAATCTGGGCACAGATAAATTGGAATTACGTGTGTACGATTCGTTGCCTTTCTCAGGCCAAAATGATTGACAAATGGGTTTCTGCTGTCGAAAAACTGGGCAAAATTTCTCAGTTCAGATAGATATTCGTGCATATCCGAACGTAAACTGCCCAAACCGGATGGTACCTACACTGGGCAATGGGCTCAGCATCACCTAGTACCTACCTGAGAAAAGAGACCGTATACCGTAGGTAGCTCACAAGAGTCAGCCTATAGAACTTGAAGCTCAAACTGAAGCTCAACCAGAAGTGCAAGCTAGCGTCCTCCCTGCATGAACACAGTCAAAACTTGAAAGTTCAATGGGTTCCCTGGAAACTGTCCAAGACGGACTCCTGGATCTCATTTTGAGCAAGGTGCCCAGGCGGTATTGGCAGTGCATCCAAGATCTATGGCCAGAGTCATTCGGGCCTGGGCTTGGTTTATCAACGGTGGAAGGAGTGGGTCAAAGAGCAGGATGGTAAAGAACGCCTAGACACTCAGCCAAAGGAAAGGCTGATGATTCTTTGCTATTTCAATCTTTTCCCTGGCCGACTTATGGCAGCGGAGGGGTTCTTGAGCAAAGACAGGTCCACACTAACCATCAAAATCCTTCCACACGGTGTAAAGGAATGCTTTGCCAGATTCTATTTTCCTAATTGCGCTCCTGTATTTAGGGATGATCAGATGGAACTGCTGCTGAGTGGAAACCTGGACATGTCGGACAGTCGCATTGAGTATGAGAGGTGGGCGACTGACTTGCGTAGAACCGACAATTGGGGAGACGAGAGAATGAGTCGCAGAGGTGAGCAGGTTGAAGAGCAAGATGGCGGCGCAGGTTTTGGCCTGGGGCGGTACGATATCATCAACCTCAGGACACGCTGGCGGGGGGAAGCGACACCCCGGGGGTGGGCATTGCAACCGAGGGGAAAGCGGGAAACGATAGCCTTCCTTTCGGACGACTCAAGTCTTCTGCTAGACCAACCACTGGTTGACCTTCTAGACTCTCTGACGCACTTCAGAGGTGATGCTTACCTTTTCCTGGGTGAAGAAGGGAGGTGTATGAATCGAAGGTTGAGCAGGGGCGACCGAAAAGTGTCTTACAAGTGGGCCAACGCCAACGGAGTGCTGCTACCAGCACACCTCGCTGGGGACTTTCGGGTTCAGTGGCACGGAGTTCATGTTGTGCCGTCCCCTTGCGAGCTTCCAATGGTACGCACATCAATGTGAGACACGCACATCAGGCAAACAAACGCCAACCACCAGGTGAGATGTGACAGGAGCCGGCCCAGTTTCAAAAAGCCGCAGGCCAGTCCAGTGCCAGATGAGGCACTTTTATAGCTTTTGATTGGGCCACTGACCCGAAGGTGGGCCTTGATTCGAAAGAGGAAAGCCGCTTTTGATTTAGAAACCCGGAGTATACAAGCTCAAAGGGAAGCGTACATAGCTTGCTGAGATTTGCAAAGGGTCTATGCCGTTTTTTTTGCGGCCCGCTTAAGTGCGCTTTTTGATTGTCCGACCATTTCTGGCATCTCCGCCACGTCATTGAGTTGCCTTGTCCAACATCTAGTCACCGGCTTGTCTCCGGTCCGGTGGCCAGAGAGCCTTGACTAATTTCCTGTCACCAACAAGTCTTGGTCAGATTGCTACCTGACGCAGGGTCTGAATCTACATTGTGAGCAGCGGTTGGCGAGTTTGGATTGCCTGAGAACTGTCCAAATTGCACTTGCCATCTTCTCTTGATAAATGTTCGATTGATTGTCTGAATGTGTCCGGTCGCTCCCTCACGGCTCGAGCAATCCTGTCTCCCACCTTGCTTCACCCGTATCTTGACTCGTCCGAAGGTGTGCGATTGTGCGTCACTATCACCGCTGATTTTGACCAGTTTCTTATGGCTCACACTGCTTCAGTTGCGTTTCATGTCAAGTTTCTCCGTTGGCTCTGTCCGCTCATCGAAGCGTGTCCAGTTCGTGCTTTATTGTTATGCGTTGCCCTTTGGCTCAAGAGGAGCAAAGGTCCGATGACATATCATCTGGAGTCGCCAGCTTCTTTAATCTCAATCTTCCTTTCTCTGAACAGAAAGACTGTAGGTGTTGATTTCCGAACGTGGATAGCGCTGCCTTCTATGGAGCCCGAGAGTCTGAAGGCTAAGCTCGTCGTTTTGTCTGGCTTGCAGCTGAGCGAGCACACCTCTGCCGCTTTGGACCTTTCAGGACTCGCGCGCTGGCTGTAAGGAAAGGGTCCATCACTGGGCTCTCACCGCTTGATCTTCAAATCCAGTAGACCTGACCGGGTTGAGCCGGAAGCATTGCGTAGCAGCGTTCCCAGTCAGAGTAAACAGAAGACCTGTTGTAGAGCATCGTAACTCTTGCCTTCGAGACCAGTCTTCACCCGTCGATTTAGTATGAGATTCCAGCAGATCGTGTGTAAATGTAAGAATCACTTGAGAACCTTATGTTTTGAGTTTCTCATCTTCCCGTCATCATACCGTACATGCAGTTCGGATCGTGCTCTTGCTGCAATCAGTTGTATATAGTATGGAATGCTCCGACCAACAATTTAGCCACAACCTCGAAGCCCGGTGTGTGCAATTTGTAGATAAATCTGTTGCTGAGGTGAACCTGAGATGCAGCCGCCGGCTCGATCCGAGGATCATCATGGGTATAGTGACTAATATCGGATGATGCACGCCCGGCCTGCTTGCACGAGGCATGGGGCCGGGATGGACCAATCGTGATGTTGGATGACAGCATCAATTACTCCTTCACTGGGGGCCTGCCGCAAAAATGGGACAGAATTCTCCGATACTGTTATATTGACGAATGCAATCAGATGTTCGTTAGCAACTAACGTGACCTGCAATGCTATTGCTCATATTACTTTGTAAGAACCGGGGCATGCCTTTGTGCAAGTTTGACACCATTCTAAAGTACCATCACTCTGAATACGCACAAGTTATACTGGCCTCCAGAGTAGTACTTAACATGATATCGATGGCTAAATGTGCCAGAGTGTGATCAACTTATTGCAAACTATCACGTCTCATGGAGTCTTCTTGGGGCAAGGGGGAGTCTTCTTGAGTCCTTGCCCTTCTGCACTACGGTTCAAATAGGAGCAGACATGTCACCTGCTCTCTGACACTGGGACGCTGATTCTGGCGCCGCTTGAAGGAAAGAAGCAGCTCAGCTCTCACGCGCTCTCCTTCAACAGCCATGTACCAATTCGAAGAATCAGTTCTCACCTCTTCTAGCTCGCATTCATTTGAGGCAAGCAGAAAGCTTTTGCGCACCGCCTCGAACGCGCTCTCTAGGGCCACATACATTAGAAAATGCTTTTCCGACAAGGGGAGAGGCGAAGAATCGACTTAAAAGGTCCAACTCAGGTTGCTCGTTCAAGACCCAAAGAGCTCTTCCATTTCCGCTTAAGCTCTTGTAGCGCCAACGTTTCGTAGACAAGGTCGAACTATTGTTAAACGTAGTGATTATTCAAAGCGATACTTGTGATGTTGAAGAAGGTCTAATTGGACCACTTTGTTGACAGACTACTGCTTAAAGCAGCGTACTGCACTTGAAGCAGCTCTGCCCTCAACTTCTTGAATTGCTCGTACCTTGATCTGCACTCGCCTGGGCACGCATTAGTCATGTGGACAGCCTGGCAATCTCCGTCAACTCCACATGAGTTGCAAGAGCTGCGTAAAAGTGGCAGCCTAAGGGGCGGTACGAGTAGACTGTGTGCAGCTCGTCGGGGCACACTGCGGAAATAGGATTCCCCCAGCACGAATTGTTGGGGAAGCTCTCTTCCAACAAGCTCTACAAGCGGCAAAGGCAAGGATGCTGAGAGTGAGTTCATAAGTTGAAGTAAGCCACTGGAAGAGATTCAGCCCCAAGGAGCATAATCCTTATTTCCCAGTGGGAAACTACAACCCAGATTCTGGATGGTGCAGATTCATCCAATAACCAGTTGAAATACTTCTGTCAAGGTATGAAAGAGAAGAGTTCTCAGTAATGAATGGCACCATCAGACGCGAATGTCAACTCCAGCACTCATGCAGCTCCTGGTGCGCCACAAATCTAAGCCAGCACAATCAGCTGTGGCGTCACATCAACTTCAGTGCATCTACAAAGAGTAAGCAACTGATGCAACACCAGGTTGACAACTTTCGGGAAGGTACATCATGATTTGTAAACAGCAGTAGTAAGAAAATTTGAAAGGATTCCATGCTCTCTCCGTTTTGAATGTTTGAGCTGCAACATGCCATTGACATATTAAAAGACGCACGTAACTTTGAAGGCCGTCCTGACGGTTCAATCCTGGACCAAAAGCAGCATTCAGATTAACTAAGAAAGCAGTGAGGTCGCCAGCAATCAGCCTGCCCTCGCTTGCGACCGCAGCTGTGGGGTTAACTGCGAGGCCCTCTGTCAACATCAATTGCTGAATCCAGGACGGATGCCTGCACATTCTGCACATGAAAGAAAGATGCAGAATAGCATTGCAATATAAATCTGTGATGCTCTCACCGTAAGGAACTCTCGCAATTCCCTTCCAATGATTAGAGTAGCTTAGATGACATTCTTCCGACCGGCCATCACCGCTCTGCACCTTGAAGATTACAACGTTTCTCCTCCAACAACCAGCGTACCTCCTACCTGACTCCTGAGGCTGTGCAACTTTAGTTATCTGTTCTTGATTTGATCTAATTTGATCTGTTTAATCTGCTGTTGATTTCTTGCAGCCTCAGGCTCGAGCCAGTGTTGGCGATTCTTTCAAGATAGGTAGGTACTAATACTACTAGGCTCCGCCTACCTCGGAGACGTGTGGTACTACTACCTACCTGTTATAATACTCTGGCACCTGAATACTGCACGGTATTTAGGTGCCAATGATTTGGGGGGGGGGTAGCTGACGCGGCAAGCGGAGATAGGCCCAAACACGGCCGATGATGATTCAAGCGACTTTGGAACCGGTAGATAATCTGAAAAGTTCCACATCACCTTGCCCCGCTTGAGTGGCTTTCAATTCCCGCCCGGGTGGATATCTATACCTATATCATAGTATAGGTATGATTCTGAAGCTAGCAGTAGCAGTGAGCACGGTGGGAACTACCTAGGTGCTGCTTAGCCGCTGCAGCCTGCACACTGTCTGCACAATGCAGATCATAGATGTGACTTTCCGTGACTTTTTGTGTTTCTTTGCTGATCAATCAATGATGACAATGTACCTAGCTGGGTAGGACAACCGAGAATTGTGTCCTGCGAAGGCGCTCTGCAAGGTACTGCAGCATGTCATCTACAACGTTTTGTCGGGGTTTTTTCCAGATCTGGCAATCTGGGTTGCATCCGACCTTGATGGGACCGCACACCGAAACTCACTTTGCTGAGGCCGCCAGCCTTGCTCTGTCTGCAGCAATAATCTGGAAGCACCATCGTGCTGAAGCTGGAACCTTGTTCCAAAGCCTAAGTTCTTCTTAGGCAACAATCTCACAGGTGACTGTGAGGAAATCCAAGGCCCTCCGTCAAGGGACCTCTGCCTGGAGTCTCTATGGTACAACTCAGGACACCAAGTTCTTGTGGACCAGGTCGCTCAGCCAACTATCCAGGAATGGAAGAAAATGTGCGAACGAACCGGGGAGACAGGGCACTGGCTGGCATGATCCAGGAATCATGACATACGGGAGTGGACCATTGAGTGCTGGAATGAGGTGAGGAAGGAACGCATTGGCTCTGAATTTAAGATGAAGTTATGCGCTGACTTATTGATTGGGGTGCATAAGACATGCAAGTCTTCGGGATCCAAGTCAACTGAAAGACAGTAATATGTTGAGGCCATGTGCTCGATGTCCTTCGTATGGTATTCTTGAATGACCGCATTTGCAGTTTCAAGGTTATATAAACGCCAGCTTCAATCGCTCAAGATTCCATTTTGAAAAGCCGTGAATTCCAAAATACTTTTTGGGAATGGATTGGGGGTTTAGGTTTTGTCTGACAGCACAGAAGCACTTGCGAAGAACCAGTACCATGTGCGGTCCTCATTCACCAGACACTCCCTTCAAATCATGCAGTCTAGCCAGAAGGTTGGTACATTGGAGTGTCAATTCCTTCTGCTGAAGTGATTCAAACGATGTCTTTGCAAACAGGATTACCTGGACGGGTGGGCAGAGCTGACTGGATGGAGAAATGTCCCCCGCATGATGGCCAGCTTCCTTCGAAAAACCATCATCAAACGGATGAT